GCCAGCTGGGATGAAACTCAATAGACACTGGTGGCACTCTACAGGTTTCAGAGGTACCACACACTGTTCTGCCCTATTTAATAGGTTTAACGGAGAGTGGTGCCAACCTGTGGCCTGAGCTCAGAAGCTAGGTAAGCTTGTTTATGGGAGATTATAGGAGGTCTTCTGTAATTACATCTCTAATTTCCAATCTTGTGCTAAAGGTCCCATGGCACCTTAATTCAAATGGTTAAAACAATTTCTTCTTATTTCTCTGCTGGTATCGTGTTGATACTGATGCATAAAGGCTGCCTGTGCTGCTCAGGTGGGGGCTTCTCTTCGGTGGAATGAGTGGGTTCGCCTCTTTTGGAATGAAAACTTCTTCACAAGAGCAATGTGAGCGATTAATTAATCAGAATATTTCTAGGCTGTTTTTTGTGTAGTCCTGGCCTCTGGATGTGTGCTGATCCTGGGGCATGAAGTCATATTTGTGTGCTGGCATCTTCTTTGGCAGGTCTTCAGCTTTTATCTGGAACGTTGGGAAACATGTAATCTAACCACATATTTCATTATGGAATCCGTTCAAATTGGTACCTTTCAGATTGTCACTCTTCTTTTTAGCGTGTATTTCCCTAGAGAGCAGCAAATGACTGCAGAGACTGGAATCTCACAACAATTCAGGGGCATTGCAGCCACTTATTTGAACACTAGGACATGTTTAAGTCATGTTTAATCTTCAGATACCAAAGCATGTTTGCCTCTTCCTCTTTGTGCCGGGGAGAACTGTTAAATTTTGAACTGCCCTACCTTAGTTCACTCTGTAGTGTCAATCCCTTTCACTGGCACTAATGGACCTTCTAGAGGACCAAAACCATGACTCTCAGAATCTGAAGAGGTTCTTTTGAAAGTTGCGTACATGTAATGATCAAAACTAAAGTGAAGACTTTTTATAGTCTTACCTGTGTCAGTTTAGTTGGGAGGTATATTTTACTGTCAGAAACACGAAATGGTCTAACTCCTGATTTAAACACTGTAAACCAATTCACATTGAACGTTAACAGTAGGGTGTAGAGCCCTTTCTACTTTTGACAGATATTACTGAGTTTCATTTGGGAGAACATGAACACATTAAAACAGAAAATGCAACAAGCAATGCAGAGCTTTTACCGTTTGTCTTTAAGACTTTCAGCTTTAGCCATTTAAAATAAGTCATAATAAAGTGCAACATAACCTGTGTACAGGGTTCTTTTTAAGAATCTTTCTCTTAGACCAGTAGTGGACAATTCTGATCCTGTCTGATTTTTCGTTATTTCATTAAGTCGGCTCTTCACCTGAACAAGCTCATCATTACTGAGACCGATTT